TTGCCAAGTTTGGGAACCACTGTGTTAAGAGACAGTGATACATTATTTTATATTGAGTATATTTGCTGGGGATGAAGGGGGATGTTTTCCTCTTTGTTCCACCACTTTTCAATATTTTTTTCTATTTTTATATTAGGTTCTTGCATTACTTTTATTTTAATATCAACCTTAATTAAATTATTGAAAGCAGGGTAACATGGAGACAACTGGAACAATTTTTCAAAGTTATTGCACCTGCATGAAAAAAGATATGGTTGCTTTAATGATTAAAAAACAAAAAGGTACATAGAATGCAAGTCTTTCAAGTTCCAAAGTAGCCATTTTGAAGGATTTGCACAGCCTTAATGATTACCTTTCAGTGGTAATTGCAGACTATCTGTTATTTCACAAGATGTTGCCTGAGAAACTGAGTTCTGGTTGCTACATTTCTGAAGTGCTTAAAGTTGGGGAATATGGGCTTGTTTGTCTGGATTTTTGCTTATTAGTTCTTAAAGGCAGTTTGTCAGTCATATATTGTTTTCAGTCAGGCATCAGTTTTTTTAAATCTCTGGTGGATATTATTCTACTGTGTCAGTGTAGAATTCCTTTGTCCAGAAAAGTTTTCCTGTTTTACTGTTGCCTTTTTGTTACATTTGTTATATTTATGCTGATAAATAAATAAAGGGAGACTAGTATAGATCTATTTCAAGCTATTTAGCTTTCATCAGCTAGCCATACCCTTGCTGGGAATCGAACCTGTGCTCTATTGCCTCTTAGGCAGATGTGTTAACCATTGAGCTACAGGGCTCGACTCCTTATCAGCCAGGCCAGGGTGAAAGGTATATATTTAATCTATATATATATATCAGTGGTGGGTTTCAAAATTTTTTCGAACCTACTCTGTGGATGTGGCCTCCTTTGTGGGAGTGGCTTGCCGGCCATGTTCTCTCTCTCTCTCTCTCTCTCTCTCTCTCTCTCTCTCTCTCTCTCTCTCTCTCTCTCTCTCTCTCTCTCTCTCTTTCTCTCCTTTTGTCTCTCTGTTCCTTTTTCCTTTTTTCCTTTCATCTCTCTCTCACTGTTTCTTTCTTTTTTCTTTTTTATTCATTTATTTCTTCCTTTCTTTCTCTTTCTCTCTGTGAGTCTCTCTGTGTGTGTGTGTGTGTGTGTGAGAGAGAGAGAGAGAGAGTGGTGGGTTTCAAAAATTTTTGGAACCTCTTCTGTAGGTGCTTTCTGGGTCCACTGGTGGAACCTCTTCTAACCGGTTTGGTAGATTTGACGAACCGGTTCTACCGAATAGGTGCGAACTGGTAGGAACCCACCATATATATGTATATATATACATATTAGATCTGTGCTAGGGCAGAGATGCACAAGTTGTTTCATAAAACAAGGATGCCAACATGCACAGAAACACTATATCTGCTTTATATTTATTTGTTTTTGTACTGGTACAGATATGTGCTTCCTATCCTACCAAATTTACTCTTAAATTATATTTGAACCCATTAGCATACTTAAAGAAACAAAGTGGTTTTTCAGCACTGCTCATCTTCCTAGAATTTTACTTATAATAAAAAATTATCTTGGAAGAACAGTTTGAATACACAGCAAAATGCAGCAGCCTGCATGGTTTTGTGCAGACCTTGGTGTGCACATGTATCACCTCTCCTAAGGGAATTACATTGATTGCCAATTTGCCAAATCAGAGTACAATTCAAGGTGCTGGTTGTCACCTCTAAAGCCCTTCATGGCTTGGGACCAGGTTATCTGAGGGACCATCTCTTGCTGGTCACATCTACTAAATCCACTAGAGCAGGGAGGCAAAGAATATTGCGGGTCCCATCCCCTAGAGCGATACATCTGGAGGGATCCAGAATAAGGGCCCTCTCTATGGTGGCTCTCTCTCTTTGTAAGATCATTTCCCCAGAGATTAGAATGGCCCCCCACTCTAACACTCTTCTGGAAGGTGCTGAAGACCCGGTAAGAGGCGAGGTGGCACAGTGGCTAGAGTGCAGTATTGCAGCCACTTCAGCTGACTGCTAAGCTGCAGTTTGGCAGTTCAAATCTCACTGGCTCAAGGTTGACTCATTCTTCCATCCTTCCCAGGTGGGTAAAATGAGGACCCAGACTGTGGGGCAATATGCTGACTCTGTAAACCACTTAGAGAGGGCTGAAAGCCCTATGAAGGGGTATATAAGTCTAACTGCTATTGCTATTGCTATTCTGCCAGTAGGCCTGGGGAATCAAGAGTGGCTGATGTGATATCGCCGGGTTGAGGGGTGGGGGGCTATTATATTATTTCATTATTTTTATACCCCTCTAAGATGCCTTGAGTCACCATGTGCAAATAGGTGGCAATATAAGTCTTCTAATAAATAAATAAATAAATAAATAAATAAATAAATAAATAAATAAATAAACAAACATTTCCTCAGTGGTTTCACGTCACTTCAAATATTCGAATATTTTATTAATCCAATGTATGATATTACACTGAGTTAGAGGAAAGTATGGAAAGTATAAGAAGGAGTGAAGTGGTTGGGAAGGGAAGCGAAGGAGCTAGCAAGAGGAGAGAGCTTTAGATCTCAGCTACTTTTTAAAAGATGTCTAAAAAGAAGATATATAACCATATGAATGTACACAATAATAGTGACATACTTGCTTGCCCATCTGTGCACAGATTTTCCAGAGGGATGGCTGTCAAGCAAAAAATTCCAATTACTGCAGAGCCATTTTGCTAAACTGGGACTAAATATCCTGGTATTAGAAAATTCCATAGCATTAAAAAGTTTTAAAATTACAAATACCTAAATGGACAGCAATTTAATAATTATGATTATAAGACCAATTTTTATTATTTTTATTCAGACAACAGTATTGACAATCCATTTTGCTATTCTAGTTTAAAAGTTCTGATGTGGAAAATAATATGACTTGCTTATACTGGAAATGTTAGAGAAATAAAAAAGAGGAAATTAAAGGTGAAATTGAATATGAATATGAATGCCTTTAAGTAGAAAAGCAACTAAAGATCTATTTACCGTATTTTTCGGAGTAGAAGACACACCGGAGTATAAGACTTACCAAGGTTTTGAAGAGGCAAATTAAAAAAAAAGCAGGTAGGGAGATAGAGGGATAGAGAGGGAGAGAAAGAGAGAGAAATACAGTAAGTAGGTAGGGAGAGATAGATAGTAGTTTGCTAGGTAGGTAAATAAAGGGATATATAGATAGATAGATAGATAGATAGATAGATAGATAGATAGATAGATAGATAGAGAAATAGAAATAGATAGAGAAATACAGTAGGTAGGTAGGGAGAGAGAGTGTAGGTAGGTAGGTAGGTAGGTAGAGGGATAGAGAAATAGAAATAGAAAGAGAGAGAAATACAGTAAGTAGGTAGGGAGAGATAGATAGTAGTTTGCTAGGTAGGTAAATAAAGGGATATATAGATAGATAGATAGATAGATAGATAGATAGATAGATAGATAGATAGATAGAGAA